CCATCGGGGTTGGGTTTTCGTCGCTTGGCAACGACGTCGTAGAACAAGCCAATTCACTCCGTGAACTCGGCCACCAGGTTACCGCTTTTTTTCATTCCCTCTGTATTTCTTTTCGGCGGTAACGATAATTGTGGTCGAGTAGATGACGTTGTGCGGGGTCGAGAATCCTCACTCCGCGCAAGGGGGATGATCGCACTACGTTGTGTTAAATCGGTCAAGCACCCTCGAGGCAGCTACACAGTGCTTACAACTGTCTCTGNGGTGATGTGAGAGCCTGGTCCGGTGAGAACCCGGCGTGCTCCGTCCCGGCTTTGTAGGGATGCGAGGTCAATGGTCTAACGACTACGGCATGCATGACTATGAGTACACCCTCCCCTCAATCGGCGGGAAGTAATACCAATAATTATTGTAGGGGAAGAAGAAGGAACGATTGGCCATCGATGACCGGTCCTGTGTGAGTAATACTCCGTCCTCTCGAGGGCGCGTGGTCAATGGTCAAATCGCTGAGGCATTTAGAACATGAGGACCCCTCCCCGCCATCATTTTTTTCATCCGCAGGCCCTCTCCGGGCTACCCAGCTACACCTGCAACCTCACGGCCACGTGCCCACTCCAGTTCTTCGCCATCCCCGCGGAGGCATTTCTCCGAGCAATAGATGGCGTGTGGACTGAGCCTTTGTACCGGCTCCGGTCCAGAGTACGTGTGGTCGGCGACGGCTGCAGAGCCGATTCCGCGGGACAGGCACGCCCTTTGACGGCCGCCGGGATCGACGGAGAGCGCTCTCTCCCGCGGAACTGGTCAAGGTACACACGGGCCTCTCTACCGCAAAAATTACGCCGGCTGTTGTAGCGCCGTTTGACTCGATTAGCGGTGAGGGCGGCTCGGCCCGCGCTTGTTTTGGACCTACAGTAGGTCGTGTGACGAGATCATTTGAGCCCTTGTTATTTCGGTGCGCAGTAAACCCATTTTTGAGGATATGGGTGGGGAGGAGAGGATGGTGAGACGACCTACTGTATGCACGTCGTACTCCAAGGGCTCGACTTCGATCCACCGGCCAGTCCCTGATTGAATCGTTTGTTTGCCTTCCAACAGAAGACCCTGCAGTAGCAGCTCGCTCTCTGTTCGTACATACAAGCGAGGTTTTTGTTCAGTCAAGACAGATGTCCGTGCACCCCTTCCGCGTGCCGCCGCCGCCCAACATGAATGGCCTGCCTTTTCTTCTATACGGAACATGCAGCAACGATGCATTGCCGAACCTGACGAAGTCGAGAACAAGACCGCCACCCGTGATGCTGACACCCATACCCCTGTTCTCCGGAATCCAGGGGGGATCGGGCTTGGAGGAGAGGTGAGGGTTTCTATGAACGTGGCGGTAGCGTGCTCGATTCTGCAACGCATGGACGGAACGAATTGAGATGCCGTGTGCAGAGGTAAATGATCATTCCTCTTGTCAACCGAGGTGGTGTGTTCGCACGAGCGCCTGGGAAATGCGATGGTTTTTCAGTGATGCTCGCCTGCATCATGGCACCCCGTTTCCTCGGCGACGCGAAATAGCGCCTAAGTGTGCGTGGGCCTTGACTGCAAAATGAGGAGGGGAAAATGCGTGATGTAACGCACGTGCCTACCCTTTCTTACCGGACCGATCTACCACTGGCATTCACGACGGAACGGCTTGCTCTTGGCAGGATGAACGTTATGGCCGCTGTTTGGACGCCATGGGTGTGGTCTCGCGGTGATGATGGCGACGAAGAAAAACCAGAGCAGCGACAACAAGGAGATAAGCAGCAGCAGCAGCAGCAGCAGCAGCAGCAGCAGCAGCAGCAGCAACAACAGCAGCAGCATCAACAGCAGCAAAGGCAGCAGCCGCCGCAGCAGCATCATCAACAGCAACAACAACACCACCAACCTCCGCAGTATTCGTTCTCGAGGGCACAGTCAGCACCTGCGCCCGTCACCACAATGCCGTCCGCGCCGGCGTTGCTGCAGCCGGAAACGCGCCAGCTAGAGCGGGACCACTTCGACGCGGGGGGCAACACGGACAACGACGACAACGACACAGGGTCTCCAAAAACACCAATATTCACCTGTTGGCCCTCCTCGCCTCTGCGACAAGAGAAAGCCGCAAGAAGCCATGGCACCCAAGACCTTCCGCGCTGCTCGAGCGGCGGCGAGGGCATAGCAGCGGCAGAGCCAGCGTCGGAGCACTCCACCGCAGAAAGAGGGAAAAGAGCAGCAGGAGGAGGGCCATGGGGACGACAGACAGTGGCAGCTTCCTCAGAGTTCATCCGCCTGGGGCCGCCGGGCGTTAACTCCACCTCGCTCACCGGCTGCGACTTCAACGCCCTCACCGCGGTGGCGATAGATGCGACGACGTCGGTTTCCTTCTCCAGCGAGAGAAACAGCAGCCCTGGAAGAGGGAGCGGACTCCGGCCGGGTACGCTCACGGGGCCGTCACCACCGCGGAGTAAGCGGAGCCACCGCCGGAAGCATTCCAGGCAGAGAAAGGACCGGCAAGTCGAACGTCGCCCTTCCACCGCCGCCTCCGCGGACAGAAGTAGACGGCCCGCTGATGATGTGTTGAGGGATAAGGGTGGCGACAAGAGTTCATTTCCGATTGTAAAGGGGAGCTCGCCGTGCTGTCGTAGGAGCGGCGGCGGCGGCGGCGGCATCGGCGTTGTTCGTGTTGGTGATGAGAGTGTTCGTGATGCCGAGAGTGGGATTAGCTGGTTGGGCTTCTCGGGGAACGATCCAGCTGGAGGCACCGCGCTGTGTGCCTCAAGCAGCACCCCACCCTCCCCCTCTTCGTTGAGAAGTGCGGCGTCATCGGTGTCCACCGCCACAATGCTGGAGCTGTGGGAACACCGGGAGCTGGCGGCGGCCAAGCGGGCCGTGTCCTCTCGCCCGCAGAGGAGGCGTGTTTGTCGGGCCTTCAAGATGCGGGAGTCGGCCTCGACCGGGATGGTGGCGGCACAACGTGCGCACCGGGGCGCGTTCGTCATGAGCAAGATGGGGAACGCAAAGTCGCGGTCGGCTTGGCGACCTTGAATTGACTGGCTGCATGTAGGAACGGTGGTAATGAGCCTCAAACTGCTTGCTTGTGGAATGAATGGCAACAAAATGGTTTGATCCATTGAACCCGGGAGTGTTTTTGTTCGGGATTTTGGTAGCAGCTTTTGAACGGTGTCGTTCTTGATAAGGTTTTGGCGGGGGATGCACCAAGATTTGGATAGTGCTTATTTCGGGATAGCGCAGAAGGAAAACCCCATTTGTTTGAACTTTGGGGAAATGTCGAAACATCTGTCATCTTTGACATCTTGTTCGTCGTGTGCTTACATGTAGGTCGGTCCACGACGTGTGTGTGTGTGTGTGCCTTTTCTTCCCGTGTTCAATCCTTGGTGATGTGACTGTCGACTTTTGTATGATGGATGTGATGATGATGAATCGTACGAACTATCTACATGAACAATGACATAGACTACAGAGGTGCGTCTAATAGTATGTTAGCCCCAGTGTATGTGAGCCCTCCGTTGTGTGTCGCTGCTCAGATCTATCTGCAGAATAAGACGAAGAAGAAGCAATGAAATTATCTATCATGACTTTTTCTTTCGCACTTCTTGAACATTTCTAGAACTAATGCGGAGAAGGTGTAGTCTAGAGTATGTAGCGGCCTTGACATGGTGACTAGTTCATGGTGAACCACCACGGATGGATTGGCTTTTTTTGTGTGGTGTCCGGCGTCCGGCACGCCTGTGTGTGTGTATGCGTTTTCGTCCTATTTATTATGGCGACAGTGCCCCCATTTTTCGTGGTGAGAAGTGTACTACAGTTTTCAGCGCATGTATGTATGTATGTAGAGTAGTACTCGACTTTTCAGTGTATTTTTTCGTACAACTACAACCATCCAGGGTCACACAGGAGGGGGTAAACAACAGGGCTTTTTTTATGCCCCATCCTCCTCCTGCGGTGCGTGCTGAATTTTTTTATCGCGAGAAGGGTCCAGCCGCCCCTTCTTTCCCTCGTCAACGGTGTTTGGTACTCACGAGACACGCCTACCTCCTGATCATCAAGATTTTTATTGCCATGACTGGCGGTTCCTCCGTGTGTGCACCGAACGGTGCCATACAAAAAGAGTGACTCCCCCAACAAGTTGCACCACAATAAGTGGCCCTGATTTTTCTCTTGTTGTGGTGTGTTGGGTGTCGGGCCGAACGGTCCTGTTTGTTGTCCACAACATCCGTCAACACAATCCGACAACAACAACAACAACAATTATTATAATAGCTGATGACTTCACCAGACCACCACAACCAAAACCGGTAGACGACGCGTTCTCGACGAACGACGTGTTTTCTTCTCCCCAGACGCAGGAATAGCGTAAAGGGCACAAGAGAGAGCTCGCGACGAACGAGCGTCGATCAATGACACGCGTGTGATGGGTGGGATCGGCGGTCACCCACCCCTCACCACCAATCACACTCATCACCACATTATCTCGATCTGCATTTTCCCGTCAGTTTCAGTTTCCAGATATCCCCCCGCCCCCCCCCTCCCCACACTTCACTCTTTTTTTTTATTTTGACGCGGACCACGAGTGACGTTGCTGTGCCTCATGATGCATACCCTCCCCGCTGCCGTCTCCCGCTTGCTGTTGTAGTTCGCCAAACAAGCAGCGCGCCCCCGCTAGATCAAGGAGCTCGACGACCGAAGAGTGTGCGACCGCTCTTTTCGTGGGCGAGGTCGTCGCTGCGACGCCCAGCTTCTTTCCCCGTGTGGCATCATCATCGTCATCGGGATATAATCGGGGCATACATCCGCTGCTGCGGCTACCGGCGGTTGCTGCTGTTGCTGCTGCTTGCTGCTGCCGCTGTTGGTTTTGAAATCAACCCCCCACACCAAATGTCGGCGCCGAGGGTTGAACAAGCTTCGGCTGGCGATATCAGCAGTGGGTCCCACGCTGCTGGCCCTTCTCTCCAGGCCCTTGAGGAGAAGGCGAGGCGGCTGCTGAAGCGCCGCCGGTATGACGACGCGGCCAAAACGTTTAAAACTATTCTGGAGGTTGCACAAGTTCAACGAGATGCTGCTGCTGGGCGGGGCCGGCAGCAGCAGCAGCAGCATTGGCCGGACCCCAAGAGGATCTGGTCCCTGGAGATCGGAGCTTTGGAGGGCCTCGCCATCTGCCTCAGTCGACAGCTAGAGTGAGTCTTGTGTCCTGCGTTGTTCCTTGTTTCGTCCTCGCTCACAACGGCAAACTGAACTGTCCGCCCTTATTCCTTAAAAATGTTGAAGAAAGGTTGGATGGTACACCAGCAGCATGTGCTTCATGGTACTGCTTTGTGTTGGTGACCAGCGCGGGTATGACGGGCCATGCGACGTCATGAAGGTCGGACATTCGGAGATACGTACAATCACCCTAGCATCCCTCCCACGGCCGGCTGTACAGCTGGTTCGGCATGCTTGAATGTTGATCAGAAAACATGTGTGGCAAGATCGTGATCGATGGATTGATATCCCACACAGAGATGGTGCGTGCTGTGATTTCGTTCAGCATCAGCAAAGTATAAATAAATAACTGCACAGAGGCCCGTGTTGACAATCGTTGTTGCCGGCTTCCCGCAGAGGTGCATGGCTCTCATGACGCGGGCGGAGAATCTGGCACTCCGGGTTTAGAAGAGGATTGATTGGGTTTCGCCTCGTACCATTCGATGTAAAGTCGCCAAAACGGCGGGTGTGTAATTGTATGAAGGGAAGTTATCTGCTGGATGAGTACACCTTGGACTCTTCGATGGGGCATAGCCTATGTGGCAAGATCGTGATCGACGGATTGATATCCCACACAGAGCTGGTGCGTGCTGTGATTTCGTTCAGCAAACTGTATATAAATAACTGCAGAAAGGCCCGTGTTGACAATCGTTGTTGCCGGCTTCCCGCAGAGGTGCATGGCTCTCATCATGCGGGCGGAGAATCTGGCACTCCGGGTTTAGAAGAGGATTGATTGGGTTTCGCCTCGTACCATTCGATGTAAAGTCGCCAAAACGGCGGGTGTGTAATTGTATGAAGGGAAGTTATCTGCTGGATGAGTACACCTTGGACTCTTCGATGGGGCATAGCCTATGTGGCAAGATCGTGATCGACGGATTGATATCCCACACAGAGCTGGTGCGTGCTGTGATTTCGTTCAGCAAACTGTATATAAATAACTGCAGAAAGGCCCGTGTTGACAATCGTTGTTGCCGGCTTCCCGCAGAGGTGCATGGCTCTCATGACGCGGGCGGAGAATCTGGCACTCCGGGTTTAGAAGAGGATTGATTGGGTTTCGCCTCGTACCATTCGATGTAAAGTCGCCAAAACGGCGGGTGTGTAATTGTATGAAGGGAAGTTATCTGCTGGATGAGTACACCTTGGACTCTTCGATGGGGCATAGCCTATGTGGCAAGATCGTGATCGACGGATTGATATCCCACACAGAGCTGGTGCGTGCTGTGATTTCGTTCAGCAAACTGTATATAAATAACTGCAGAAAGGCCCGTGTTGACAATCGTTGTTGCCGGCTTCCCGCAGAGGTGCATGGCTCTCATGACGCGGGCGGAGAATCTGGCACTCCGGGTTTAGAAGAGGATTGATTGGGTTTCGCCTCGTACCATTCGATGTAAAGTCGCCAAAACGGCGGGTGTGTATTCGTATGAAGGGAAGTTATCTGCTGGATGAGTAGACTATACCTGGTACTATTCGATGGGCGGTCTCCGTCTGCTGGGGCTGCCGGCTGGCTGAAACCAGTCCTGAGTGGATGAGATGAACAGCGAACCACCACACACCTCTCCCCCCGTATTGTCGCCGTCCTTGCACCGGTCGCCCCTCCCGCGGTGACACTTCTGGTTATTTCTTTGTTCAAACTCTTGCACCCTACCTCCCCCCCCCCCCCCCCCCCCCCCCNCTCCCCCCCCCCCCCCCACCCCTCCGCCCTCTCTCTTACATCAGTGTAGATTTCGGGGTACGACTCTCGCTGTAATATAAACGTGGAGAGACGCACCGTCCCATCTCCCGTGTAACTCGCAACAATCAGAGGGAGGAATGAACTAATGGCTGCTAAACTCAACTCTTCTCGAGTTAGAAATTGGGGGCATTCTGGCACCGAACAGAGGATGGGACGAAATCAGAGGGGGAAAACAACAGGAGAAACAATAGAAAGATCACTGCTGTACATTGCAGCATACTTTAGTCTAGCTGGAATGTAGGTCCTTTACCGGGCGGTGAATCACAAAGACTGCTGCTGTGGGTTATAACCGAACGGTGAAGACAAGCGCGCCTGTAATAGTCAAGTGTATATGGTGACGACCGCACAACAACGCACGTCCGCCTGCCGTACAGTATATATACCAAACCACTGCTGCCGCTGCTGTGTATGGATCATGTGTGTGTTGGATGCTTGTATGGCTAACATGTCAATCATGCGTCTGCCGGCCTGACCCTGGGATACTGCAACGTCGACCCCGAACAACCACAACGCGTTGCGTCTTGCATGCAAGTACACACTAACAAGGAAAACATTTCTTCGTCACGTTCGGCGGAGGCAGTCTTTTTTCTCGAACAGCGTATCTAGACAGCGGTAAACGTTTATTTTCGGGTGCCCGCGTAGATTGCGATCGTGGTGTTTTTTACGGAGCCAGCCGGTAACTTGCACACGGACAGCGCCGGTCAGATTCCTCTCAACACTGAATGAAACTTCATCACGCTTTCGAAACCTGGCCATGTTCAAGACCGGGGACAAAGGTAGTGGGACGTGGGGAAAGAGGTGCAACTGCTGTAGAGGTGAGCAGTATTTTAATGGTCAAGCAGCAGCAGCCAACAACACTGCGATAACGACAACAGGTTGTTTTATGTTCAAATTTGACATTCCTTCGGTGGTTGCGTTCTACGCGAGCGACCCTTGGGGTGATTTTCATGCGAATAGGACTACTAGTCCCACCCCCGTTTCGACCCATCGGTATAATACCACATGCACATGCAGTCCCACCCCCGATTTTGCCAGCTGATGCGTGCACACGATGGTTTCTTGCCACGGGTGGTTCAGGCAGAAACTTCTCAATGCTGGCATCATTCCATATGTAATTTCGAGCCCACTCCCCAAGGGAAATATACATGCGATCGACCTACAGGCAACACCAACCGCGCACGTCCTTTGTCCAAGGTGTGTATGTCGCGCCATCTGGGAGTTCCCATTTCGTCCGTGGTACACACGAAAAAAAAAAAAACGCCGCATGCTGTTCACGTCGACGCCGAAACTAAGGCTGCTTGGGGGTGGGATAGGGGTGGAATACGATGAGTCCCCGACTTCACCGCGAGTGTCCCTCCACATCACCTGGTGTGTGCACGGCTACGCGCTCATTACGTTTCGCAATGGGTGTGTATGCTTCATGTTCAGATGTATATGTGCCCCCTGCCTCCGATGTACCATCAACCATGGGCGTGTGTGCCTCATGTTCCGACGTATACATGTCCGACACCCCTTGTCTCCGATGTATCAACCATTGGTGTGTGTATCCTTCATGTTCCGATGTTTGTATGTACATGTCCACCGCCCCCTGTCCGACGTATCACCAACCCCTACCCGAAAACAAACAAACAGCGATGCTGGTGCGGAGGCCGCGCAACGCCATGCGCTAGCCCTGAGGTGTCGAGAGTGGGAAGACCGTGACGGAGGCGTGTTTGCCGGGGGGGGACGGCAAGAGGGTGACGCGGGGCGTGGTGCTGGTTGTGATTCGGGCTTGTTGGACCCGTCGAGTGCTGTCGTCGCGGCGAAGAGGGCGGCGGTGCCATGCCTGCGTAACCTGGCCAGCTTCGTGTCCAACCAGGGGAGACATGTGGACGCCGAAGTGGTCCTGGTGAGTAAGGGGGGTGTCGACACCAAAAAAATGTTTTATGGCGGGTTAGATATTGGCGATCATATAATGTTTTTGTTCCAAGCAGAACGGGCAGTGTTGCGTCTCGCTGGCTGTGGAGATGGTTGTGTAAAATTGGGCCCGCAAGCTGTTCGTAGACATGGGGCCACCAACTTTCACAAAGTGTTATCTTGAGGGTGTGCGTCTCTCTCGCGCCCCTCCCCTGCCCCCCCCCTACTGTTGTGTCCCACCAGCGCACTGTGCTCAACATCCTCCGAGACTACAAGCAACAGCTCAGCAGCCAGCATCATGACGGCAAGGGCAAGCGCGAGGCCGACGCACCTCAACTGGACGGCGGGGGAGGCTTCGGCACCCACTCGGCCTCCTTCACGCCGTCGTCGTTTGAAGAGAGGCGATCGGACGAAGCACGAGCGGACGTTGGCTCCCCGGCGCCGTCGCCAACGCCCGAAACCCACGACGGCAGCCCCGCAGCACATCCGACAACAGCACCCCCTCCGTTGTCCGCGGTGCCCGAGGTGGGCATCGCTGGGCGGTACGAAAGCCTTGGTAGGGATGGCTCCACGGCCAACCCCACCACCGGCGGTGACGCATACGAGAGCGGGAACACCCCGGCGGGTTCGCGTCCAAGCGCCGAGACCGCGGGCGGCGGCGGGGGGGGGGGGGGGGTCGAAGGCGACGATCTAAGGAGCCAAGCTGCACAGGCTACGGCCGCGCTGGCGGAGGAAACGGTGGCGTCGGCGATGGCGGCGGCCACGAGAGCGGTCGCCGTGATGGGAGAGACGGCGGCTACGCTAGAGCCTTCCCTCGTCGTCAACCACAACCGCGCGACGAGAAGCGACGCCTCCCCGGCCCCCCCGCCACCGTCCCCCGTCCCCCTGATGAAGCAGGCCAGCGCCGGCCCGACGGCAGGGAGGCGGGGCGGCAGGCTGGAGGAGAGCAGGCTGCCGGGCATGAAATTCGCCGGGGGTGAGAGCGGTGACGACGAGCGGGGCTTGGAGGATGTCGAAGGAGGGGAGGACGAGGACCCGGATCAGATGGCGGCGGTGACAAGACACCGCCTTGCAGTCGTCATTCACGCGCAGGTGGTGTATGTGTTTTGTGCTTCTCTGTTGTTGTTAATTGTTACTGGCACTGCCCGCCCGCCCTAACCGGCTGACCAATTTGTGGTGTGTGTGTGTCTGTCACTTGCATCGCCCGCACTAGCCGGCTGACCAGTGAAAAGGCAGTCTCA